CTCATATATCGACCCCCTTGCAGTCGTGACACCTGGTTCATAAAAGTTGACAACAAGAACAATTCCGCCCAGATACGTGATCTGAACAGCCATCCAGTGCGACGTCCAACTCGCCTCAGACCACAAAACCATTTCTATGATCGATATATAGGGGTTCAATAACATTGCCACTCCGCCTCAAGACTATTTTGACTCGGTCCACAACGAGCGTCACCGCTTGCGCACGAAACATCAGGAGAAGTTGTAAAGCGAATCTATAATATTTGACTCACCTCAAGTGACTCCCGTTTCCTGTAGAAGAACCAAAACGATTATTCTCCGATACTCGCTCTGCCGGAAGTGACTAAGCTAAGAGAAGTACCGTTCCGGATGCTTGGATAATCCTGCGACTTTATGCGAAATGAGACCAATGCTGTTGTTGCGCGGCTGGCAAAACGTCTTTGACATGGATAATACGACGACATTGGGGCATGCTCTGTGATGTTTCATTCCCTATCTCATTGGAGACGCTATCAGCACATAGAGTCCAGCGTTGACCATCGCGAGCGATAAGGTCAAGTGCTAGTTGCCAGTTGGCAGGTTCAACGATAATGCTGACGACCGCCGCGCGCATCTCTTTGTATAAGTGATATAGCAAAGTCTTGGTTTGTGGCAATAACACGCCCGTCTCACTTTTAATGAGTGCGGTCTTGGGGAGCAAAACACACATGACATTGAGGGTCCCCCAATGGTTCATGTCAGCAAGTGTTTCGACGACAGTCGCGCACAACAACTCAGGGTGCAATTTACTAAATTTTCTCCACCGTTGAGCACTGTCTGTCGTTCTTCATCGTATTTGACCAGTTTGACCGTCTGCCACGGCGGCCCAAGCCATGCACAGATCGCGAAGTTTAGCATCAGGGTGTGTGATGTGGAGCCGGAACATATAGAACTTCGGAATTTACTGTTCTTGCCATGTCCAAAGATACGCAGGGTTTTACCCGGCATCGAGGCGAGGCAAGCAATAACTTGACCAGTGACATATCCCGCCAAGTCCACGGCACACGTGTTTATCCGCCTCACTAGTCCCTTTGGCTTAACAAGCATGGTAGCCGGTAGTGTTGCAACTTCTTTGAGCTGGCTTACCCATTTGCGAATCGCAGACGTGTTCGCTAAAATTCGTTTCGTGCTCTACGATACTGCAGCAGCCGCCACCGTAGCAGATGCGGTAACTGAAATTTGGCGCACTATGGTTGCACGTAAATTCTGGTCGTGAGGATCGGGAGCGCAAAGTGTTCAAATAAGGGCCGGCTACCTGCGTACATATTTCGCTCCTGCTCCCGACAGGACGTGTCGTCAAACTAGAGGCACCAGATTCGAATGATTTTATAACATCAGACGAGGCCCTGAGCTTTTCCTCGATCACCTTGGCTAGGTCCGCTGGAAAAGATACACTAGCGGCGCAGGGAGGGCGGAGTTACAGGTCTCCATCCAGACCACTTAGGCACATGGTGTTCCCAAACATAACCTTTCTCTCCGCCATCGTAACATCAAACTCCTGAGACTGCTGTCCCTCCGATTCCTGGCGGTCCGTCGGTGGCAGGTTCGACGGACCCGAATAACTAGTCGCCGCCGCGGACGGTACCTTACTAGGTGGTGGCTCTAGCAGCTCACTAGTTCTATCCTATTTGCGGCGAATTTAAGAAGCCAACAAGCGGTGGATCGTGGACCGACCCCGCTCTCTGCTTCGTTCCGCCAGCGCAGCTGGTAACTCATGGGGCGGTTTCTTATCTCGCGAGACCTTGACTTTGGTCACGGGCTTTCTGTTACAGCCTAATCGTTGCCAACCGGCATCTTAAAGTGTTGAGTGATTATGCTGTATTCGTTGCATCCGTGGTCACTCGATCCATCACATCACCTGCATTACGGTATTCGTACTCCAATCTCCACAATTTTCACTGTCCTCGTCGAGAAAAGTATAGTCTCCATTACATTGTGTCGCATCATAAGCCACTTCGAGTGCCTAATCATGAGCCTCGAAGTAGCATCTTTCTTGGTTTCTGCCGCGCGATGCTTCTCTGCGGCTGCGCAATATATCACCTCGACTTCTTTTTGTGCGGCCGCTACTTGTAATCGATCCGACTCAAGCGCCGTATCTCTGAGAATATTCGTAAGAAGCGACGGATCGACCCCCGGAAAAGGATTTGGAGTTGTGGCGGCGACCCCATGATCTCCACGCAGTATTTGTTTAGTTCACGAATCGCTTGCGTGTGCAGTTTGTTCTCCTTTGTAGAAGCGGAGGGTGGTGGCGCGGATGGAACTGTTGTCAAAATGCCCTTAGGACGACCCGAGACCTGAGTCGGGTGAAGTAGATTCTTGTTTTTCGTGACCGTGGTCGTAAACATTTTCTGGGCATTGACCGTCGACTTCGGGAGAGGCGACTTTTTTGATCCTCCAATCTTGTTGAACTGAGAATATTTGAGTGCTTTCACAGCACTTTCCGTCGCTGGACCGGATCGTGCCATCGGTAGACGCACATCCCGCTTCTTCTTGTTCTCACCAGGATCAAACCACTCATTTGTCGACGGACCTCTGCCGCTAGTAGCGCCGCCACTATCTGTCTGTTCGTGAGCGGGATGAGTTGCTGTGGGATCGCCCGATTGATCATCAGGAGGAGGTTCCTGCGAAAACTTACTCAACAGGGGGCCTTGTCACCATCCATTTTTAACTTCGCCGTGGTCGCCATCAAAGTGTCCGCCAGCCCAGCGATATGCTTCAGGCGATCGGCACCGTTCAAGTGCTTGAAAGTCAACCCACTATCGTGAGGCGGAGCAATTGGCACACCAGTGAGCTTGCGGTGATGCTGAACGTTAGAAGTGCCTTTGCGCTCGCCGCACTTGGCACTCGAGTGACAAGGCGAGTAGCAGAAAAAATAGGTAATGCGTTGGGAGTGCCGCAAATGGTGGAGGAATATCTCCTTGTTGGGGGTCGCAATGTGCGTAGCCAGCTTAAGTTGTTCGGGACTCGACACCGTATCTAAAGCCGCGACAAAAAAATTGGATATATACACCTCCGAGCCGTGTGAGTACTTAAAAGTCACGGATGTCACCGGACATGACACACTGGAATTCAAAATAGCTTGAACCATGCTTGACTCTACTCCATTGACTAAAAATCAGACTTGATAGCGCAATTAGTGGCGACCGGTTGACGTGGCTGAAAGCAATAGAGCCGTAATGTCGTCAGGCTCCATTGTAGTCCGACACAACATCTGACGCTTACCGCGACACAGAATCTCTTGGCATGCCAGCTTGCAGCTGCTGCTTGATCCGGAGTAAATAAGGTCAGGCGCCTCGTGTCGGCGTCGGAACAGGTCCGCTTGGCACCCGTGAGCAGTTACCGACTCATGACACGGGTTCCGCCTCCCTCTTTTTGCGTCCCAAGAGCTAAAGTAGCAATGTCTTCTCCGCGATGTACTGATGCATGCGCACGTACGGAGAGACAATTGCAATCACCTTCCCTTCCAGATACGCTTCGCAAAAATCAATTACCACAAACCGCGTAGCCCGCGGATGCGTGCAGACCAAAAACCCTGGCGGGGACAGGAGTATGATGCCCCTATCATCCGTGCTACCATACCCTCCTCTTCAAGATGAATCATCGAACGCAGATCATCGTCCACCTTCTCCACCCACGTCCTGGTGGCTATTCGAATCAGTACCGTCTGGAGGTCCTGCGAAGCATCCGATCCTATGGCGCCGGAGCTGGATCGGCCGCACAGGCCGGCATCGTTGGATGGGTACATGGCGGTGTCCGGGCGGTTGGATTGTTTGAGCACTGGCTGTTCACGTCGTCGGAACCAACGGGGCGAACAGCGGTCGGTCCCAGGCCGTTTACATCGGCGGCGTTATGTCGGCTAACTCGTCGAGGTCCGGTCTGCAAAACTCGTCGAGTCCCGGACGGCTACAATCACCATGTTCCGATTAGCTGATATCGTCGAAGACCTGGTAGGCAACGAGTCCGCTGATCGCAGCAGCGTACGAAATCGCGTCCGGCTGCTGCCTTAGGTACGAGGCCCTGATCCCCTGGTCCGTGCTCGTCGAAACCGGCACCGGGACGAATGGGCGGCTACTCTGTTAGAAACAAACGATCAAATAACAAAAGACCTTGTAATCGGACGCGTGCCAGACGCGTTTCGGCCCTCCGCCAGGGGTCTCCTCTGTGGCTTACAGATCACAAAGTGATTTGCCTCAGTGTTGCGGCCTCTGCCGCAGCCACACGTTTCCCTATGCGAAGAAAAACGTCTAGAAGTACCTCACCTAAAGACCAAATCGGCACTACCTAGCAGACTTCACCGGCGTACACTCAGTACCCAGCTATACCCGAAATGTCAACTTCCAACACATTCACCTCCACCTCTATCCAACACTGGCTCTTCGGCGATTCCCTGCGGGGGGTGACCTTGTAAGTGCGCACCGTGCCTCCCGCTCGAGGGAACCGCAGCGCTTTGCATGGCTCTGCTGTCGGCAATGCGCTTGAGTTGTTGCCACCCTTCCTCGTGCCACGATGATGCGTCTGCGTACTTAGTCGCAAATCTGGAAGTGGTCAACAACATCATACGCTCTGGCTTATTGAGGGAACATCATTCTCAAAGAACTCACTGCGATTCATTGACCGGCAGCTGACTAAGTAGTTTGAATTCATGTGCTGTGTCACCACTGCTTTTCCCGATCGTCAAGCGTCATGACACAGACGAACGAAGGAGCAATGTGTATCGAGTGCAGAAGCAAAGCAAGGAGTGGACTGACCACGTGAAGCGATTTATCCATCGATTATCCACGTAGATGCACAAGACGCATTGGCAAACGCACGACACTCAGCCGTAAGATAATGTAAAACTGTGAATGTGTGCTAAACATTCAAGTCCTCATCGTAGTGCTTCTCAACGACAACATTATCCGTGCAAGCAGCTACGCGGATCGATCATCTTCTCTTGCTCTTCCCGCACTTGACGCTACTACCTACTCCCGTGGCTTTGGGGTCATGTACCCTTCACCGTACATCTTCCTCAAGAAGTAACTTGGATCAGCCACAGTGTCGAACGACAACCCATTGATCGTTACTTGTGAAAACGGATGCATCTTGTCATGTGGCAGCGTGCGATCGCTGAAGCACTCCATGCTCCAGTCTGTGTCATTCAGCTTGTCCATCGCGTACAGATCAAGATATGGCACCAGAAAGTTTGCCGTGATTGAAAGTCTCGGGTCGTACAGTCTAGCAGCAAGAGGATGGGTTGGCGCGACGCAAACCCGCCAAATGTCGAGAAAGAACACGTGATAACCCTTTGCAACCAACGCGCGACTGATCTCGCCATGTGTGTCCAGCTGTCCATTGTACGCAATGTCTGTGTCTTCAGTAAAAGGGATCATCGACCCGTTCCGAACAGCACCGAGGAGGGACCCAAAGACTAACAGTGGCGTTCGTCCGAGAGCTTGGAGCTCTTCGTACACTTCGATCAACAACATGTGCAGCACACTAGCGTAGCAGCGAGACTGAGCTGAATGTGGCGTCAGTAGATCCATCCGGTCGGCTCCAGTGCAAAATGGCGAGTCCTTGCGTCCAGAGATCGGTAAACAGTAGCTGAGCGTCGAGTCGTGTCGACAGCTTTCGTTGCAAAGGACAGTGTGCTCGTTCTGGAAAAGCGGTGGGGCAAGAGGCGTCAGATCTTGGAGAAGTGGATAGTAGCGATGACCGGAATGGTACTTGATGGCACTCATGTTGACTGCGCTTGGACTACACGTCGCCTCTTTCGTAGGTCCCTTATTGCTGGTGCTGCTGTCGTTGTGGGGACGCAGGTGAAGGGAGTCAAGTCGATTGGACAAGATGTTCGTCTCCATGACGACGTCGAAGGCTACGACGCCGGCCGCCAGTATCGCTAGAGCCACCAGCGCCATGTTGCCTCGACATTTGGCGATAGGTGCTGCTACTCCTTCGCTGTGGAACGCGAGGCCAGTGCTGCGGAGCGTCTTGGACGACTTTTTGCTCGACTGCATCAAACGAACTGCGCTCGGTCAGTAGTCAATCAGTCTGCGAGGCTGCAAAAGCAGGAGTGACGACTTCGGACGGCATTCAAAGTCGAAGGGCTACCGCTGACCACAAGAACATGCAATGGCGAAGCACCGGACGAACACAATACCTAGTTTTGCAATCCACTGGCTCGTCGTCTAGAACGCAGTGGCGCTCGCTAGTCTTTGCTGTCCTATCGGCATCGGTTCGAAGTGCTGCGATACCGAGTGTGCACGACCACCGGGTCAGGATTGTGGGCACGAAATAGATACTGCTTCCACAAGCAAACGGTATTCGGTCAGAATCAATACACTCATTGTGTCAATGTATGGTAAAATTCGACAGTTCCATGTTTGCTTCCATACAATCCTGCCAATCAATCATTCGACTGTTTTTCGAATGAGATACTCCTGGTGGCAGCCTGCTGGCTCTTGGATTGGCTTTTGTTGGACCCCGTAGCAAAAAGACACTGGAGGATCGTGTACTTGACACAACCGTTCGTTATCTTGCACTGATCAGGCACTCGAAGTAATCGTTCGTTATCTTGCACTGATCGATCGTGATGTCGACTTTTTTTCCTGGCTGACTGACTTCTTCCCTCTACTACATTCGTGGTCGCTTCCAATGCATTCTCGCAATGTTCGTCTTCCGGTACGTCGTCCCCTGCCCATGCAAAAGCAGAAGGTTGCACCGAAGCGCGTCATAGCGTGTCATCATGTCGGTTTGTTGACGACTGAGCGAACTACAGATGTCGATACCGAAGGCACAGCGCCGCACGCGTTCCTGACCTTGTTGATCGGCCTTCTGCGTTCATCGACCGTATGTTACGCGCAGGTGAGTTCGGCTCTAGCGCAACGTGCGCAATGTGGCTACTGCCGCTGGATCATCATCGTGAACCGTATTTTCAGGTTGAAAAGAGATTCGACTAGAAGCTGTTTTACTAGTGTGCGAGCAAGCCACTAGAGCAGTCGTCGCAGCAAAAGGATCTTCGCATCAAGAGTGGTGGTGACTCAGCGGCGCCGGGTCGCGTACACGATCTACATGCTATATGCCCTGAGGTATTCTCACAACTACTTTGATCATTTAAACTGATTGCTTATGATACTGTGTATCGGCAATTTGTGCTTCCTTCGCTGAGGCTGCAGAGCGCAGGTCTCTCGGTGCATCCGGGATACACAAAAGTCAACAGTGATATCTGCACTTTGCTGTCGGTGGGTAACATCGATCACGTATTTCGCATGCAAAACAGAGGGGCTAAAGCTTAGAAGCTGCCTCTTGTCGGTCATGTGGTCACCTTCGTCATCAATCCAATTGCACACTCACTGCTCAACACTAGCCCGACGTGCAAGCTGGACAAAACGTAGCGCGAAAGTGTGCACGGATCTCCATGTGATACACTTTGGTGCGTCCATTGGCATGTTCCTTTCTGTAGTACGACGCTTCACGCAATGCACCGCTATCGTTTACAATTCGCCTTTGAGCGCAAGGACATGCAAGCGGGTATCGCTAGACTATTCTTCGCCCATGTATTTGCCATAATTGCTTGTCGAATCCAGACTTGGCCGCCAGTGCCTTAAAGTATCGATCGCGTTAGTGCTACGGATCATTGACATCTGCAGGTTCCGTTAACAGGACCGCTAATTCTTAGGAAGCAGACCGAACGTCACGAGCCCTTCTTCACCACTATGTACATCGGTCTGCTCTTTTCACTTCGGACCGGCACAGAAATGTCACTAGTCCAACATTGCTAGGACATCTGCATCGACTCAACCATGTCATTCATGTTGCTGTGCTCAGCCCAAAAACGCATCGTTTAGACTGGTCTGCTCAAACGTGCATCCAATGTTACTTGATTGTATCCGCGAGCTCCATATACGAGTCGCACCACAAAGGGTATGAACCGATGTGCTTATTCTTCGGTCTCGACTGGAGCGGGGGACCAAAATCCTGCACGTAACTGCACGTAATTAACGAAGAACAAGAGCTGCAAGACCTGCGGACTTCGTCATTACCATTGTCATCCATCGTCTTTGCAATGCGCCTCCGCCGTCAGTGATTACAGCATCACGACAGCGAGAAGCAATTGCACAACGCAGCATTTCTCGATACCATGGTGCGTGATTGTAAAGTCGCTTGTCTTCATGATCAGACAAGTCTCTTTATGCATCAAATGATGGATGGCGTGGCTCAGTGATCCATGTTCCTCATTCAATGCAGAGATGAATGCTCGAATCTCATTCCATCTTCTTGCTCATGCCAAGGTCCGCGTGTCCACCGGATTCACACTATTCCCACATGCGCAACTCAAAGAGTGGGCGATGGTACTCATGACAACAGCAAGCCTCAGTGAATAGTGGCTCAGAACACTAGGAGCAGTAGTTGTCACCGCCTTAAAGCTCCACATTCGATGGCGTTGCATCATCGATCGAACCGTTTGACCAGCTACCCAATTCGTTGTTACACGTCATTGAGTGGAGGTTGGGAGATAGGGGGAAGCAATTTGTCAGACGCGCTAGCGTCGATGTAATTGATCTACCTACTGAGGATAATATGCCTACTAAGGGCTTGTTCCCGGACATGAGTTCCTACGAGCGCTTGGACGTACACAGTCGCGAGCGAACAGCCTTTCATCGAAGCAAGGGACCATTGCGAATTCACTTGGTAATCAACGAACAACATGGGCACGCACAGCATTACGCTGACGTTTCGATCCAACGACCCGCATGCTTGCGGAGACCACTAGTCATTATTCATCACGGCCGGGCACGCCGCCTTATCGTCACTTGGCTTCTTTTTGGATGCGCGTTCGCCACGGCATCAGTTTCAGTATCATCTCTGGCATTCGTTGTCACCATAAGATCTCCTTTTGTTGCCTCTTTAACACCAATACATGCCTCCAGCCCTGGCGTGATCTCTTCTTTCGACTTGGCAGCATCATAGACTGCTAAAGCTGTCTCGTAACGGCTCTTGTCATCCCTTCCGTGGCAACAAGTATCGTAGATCTTGTGAACACACACCAGCATAGCATGGGCAGTCAATGCTACAAGTGAGAATAGCTTCTCGTCGGTTGCTGTTGGTTGTCCGTTATTCGCAAACGACAAACAGCAGAGGGCACTGATACATCTTCGACAATGAGTAGTCACCGTCCGTTCGGAACTTTGACTTGTAACGCTTTGCGTCTCGTCCATCTCGTGACGAATGAAGAGAAGCCACGCCACAATCTGTATAGCATCGCCCCTCGACGCAAGATATACGAACTCACCTTACGCGGAACCTAATATCCACACGTATTGCACGAGAGACGCTGTACCTTACCAGGTGTTCATGGATGCATCACCTTCCTAATCGCTCGTCCGAATCAGCTTGTCCATACCTTGCCCACACGTCGGGGCCTAGACAGTCGTTCCTTCTTCCTCGTTTGATTATGTATTCGTTCCCGCAACTGAGCACGTCTTGTTGCATCCAGAAAATATAACGTTGTCGCGTGCGGTAGTAATACGAGCCGTCGCATTTAAGCAAGAGGATGAACTCGTTGAGAAATATGGGTAGCTTTCGTATACTCACGTACAGACCCGCCTACCGTGGCGAGCTACGAACACAAAAACTGGCACAGCACAAAGTGCGCTGCTATGTATCTCCATCTCTAGTTCAATCGCACACGATACGACTTTTGTGGCTGCTCTACAAGGAAGTCACGCAGTGCTTGCCAAGTTGTCTTACTCTAATTCCATTCTGAGTGTCCTAGGCAACGTGTGCAATCTCCAGTCTGCTTTCTCACGCACGGAATGTCATTGTACTCTTGTCGCATTGAGTGGCAATTGCTACCGGTGGGAAGTCGTTCTAACAAAACTACGCGGATCACTGGTTGCGAAATAAGAAAGGTCACCACAACTTTCTTACATTTGGACATTCAAGCTGTGGGATAGCAATAAGGTACTTACTTATCCCCCACCACGAATGCATCGCTTTGACACTCGTCTGACTCTAACCGATTCAATTGTACAAGCTTTGCAGTCCTCAAACAGTGCACAAAGCTTTGGTTTTCACTGTTAGGAGACCAGTCACCAATATCGCATTCGGTAACGCCAAGACACCAACTTGTCGATGGTGTTTTGGCTGCTAAGGCGACACGACGCCTTGTAGCAATGTGAACATCACGCAACAACAACTCGTACTTGTGCAGCGTATGTAACGTGTACAAAAACAAACTCGACTCCTGATATACTAGTGTAGACGTCAAGTACCAGCGCAATCATGGAGATGCCAGTGACAGATGAAACCAACAAGCAGAAACGCACAAGAAGCTCTTGCCAACGAAGAAAAACGGGAGCTGCAAAGATGAAAGTGTAATCCTAGTCGACTGGTGTCGCCGGAAGTCATGTTTAGAGCAAAGAGACGAGTTCGGATCCATGTGTTTCCGTCCACTCAAGTTCACCTTTGCTCCAAGCTTTGTGACGGATTGATATCGCTACGGACGTCGATTCACGTACAAGCCACGTCTTGCAAATTCTCGAACCTCTTCCATGGCGCTAGCAAAGAACTTGGTGTCTGCGTTGTAAGCTTGGCGCGCTCTGGCTCCGATTATAGCCCGCTGATCAGCTGTCGTAGAGCCGACCATTTCTCGAACAGCTTTGCACACATCGGTGCCGCTGAAAGATCCAACCAGCCCGTCGAAGCCTTTTAAGCCATGCTCCTTGTCGTACTCACCACCCAGTATCTGGTTCGTATCCTTGAGGCGCTTGACCGGAATCAGGAAGCCGGTTGTGCCCGATGAAATAAGCTCATTCATTGGAGGCAGGTCGGTGGTGATGACCACAGCTCCAGCTGCACGTGCCTGGTTAATGTAATGGCCGTAGCCCTCGCTCAAACTTGGACACATGAAAAATGCCGCCTCTGCAGTCATCTTAGCAAACACAGAGCGCTCTACCATGCCCACGTTGACATGAAGGGGGCTGCGACTGTGTTGCATCGATTTCTTCAAGTCACCATTGACCGATGCATCGAATGCCCCCTTGTCAATGTACACGTCGAGGGGAGGTAGGCTAGGCTCACTTACCCAACACTGCACCAGCTGTCTCGTGCCTTTGAGATTGCTAGTCCCAGCCGTGTGAAGGAACTTGACGTCGAGAAAGTCTTTTGGAGCAATGGCGCCTTCCCCCAAGCGTTTGCGAGCAAAGTCGGTCTGATCGGACGACGTGTGCTTTGTGTAGAACACTTTTGTGTCACGTGGGCTGCCTTCTTGTTCGTACCATTTCGTCACTCTGTCGTAACACACCTTTGTCTTGCATAGCACTGCACTCGCATTCCAATAATGCTCTGCCGTCATTTCGTACATTTCAATGTTTGGCATCACGTAGATGGGTTTGTCCTTGGGCCAACGTGGCATCGATGGCACTCCGTCCCAGTAGTGATTAAAGAAAATCACGGGCGTCTTCGGGCACAAGTCAAAGTAGTCGACGGTGCGGCCCAGTGCTGGATCGAAGAGCCTGACTTCGAGTGTCCACTGCAGCAACAGCCGAGACTTTAAATCTGTGCCACAATAACCGCAGATCGTGAGTCAAAATGCAAATGCTGCCCACCTGCTACCCAGATCGAACCATCCATCTCCCCTTTCCTTCACAATCAAAAAGAACGTACACTTCACGTAGGCCACTGCATCCTCACAATACCCGTTTCCACGTATCCCAACTGGAAGGAAAATGTCCACGTCGGGGCACTGTCGCAGTTTCGCCAGCATGTCCGGGTCCTCCTTGTGCGTCAGTACCTCTGGGTTACTCGCTGTTGCGTTCGGGAGTTGATGGCCTGGACGGCCAAACGTCCACGGAAGCGACGCGTCCGAGTCCCGTACACACGTTTCGTGCAGCAAACTCAAGTGCAGCCGATCTTCGCCCGACACTTCGTTCCCCCCAAACTCGTCATCGGCGAGGGCGTTCAAGTGCGTCCGCATGGCGTTGGCCACCTCCTGTTGTTTTCGTGCTTCCAACGACCTGTTCATAGACGGCACCATCTGCAGCACGAGCGTGGTCGTTCCGAGCACGAGGAGAGCTCCGAACCCGACCAGCAATCGAGACCGTCGATCCAGTAGTGGTCCTCTTCGCCGTCCAAGTGTGGCCATGACCGTCACGAAGGAGGAGAGCGAGTGGGGGACCTATTGGTGGGGTGACGAGCGTGTGGCTCTCGGCTTTTAAATTTCAAGCGTCGTGGTATCTGTCACTACAGGTGTCGGAAGGGGATGGTCGAGTTGGGATGGTGACAGCAGACCAACTCCAGACGTCGAAAAAGGAAGGAATTGGCTGATAAACCGACTACTTGGTGGATTGATACAGACGAAAGTGTAGTCAGTGGGGAACTGGTGGGGCCGATGTGGGACCGAGCGCTCGCAATTCGAATTTCGGATCCGAACTTCGGATCGAAGAGGGTACAACGTCGGATAGCGTTGAAGTGTCTGGTCACGCAATGTTGAGGAAGTCAGGTACCGATTTGCCAAGAGGTGGTGGGTACAATACCATGTGGTAGGGAGACAGGATCGACGATACGGACGTAGTGGCAGCATAGTTGGCGACTGACGGGCCTCGTTGTGTCGCACCATCTGAAGACAGTCGTGACTTGACTTGAAAAAGCGGCCGCGATAGTATCGTGCAATGTGACACTCGTCTCGAGGCACAGCACATATTTGTACAATGCAGTTGATGCCCTTTGTGTTTCGTTAAGGTTTGGCAAACGCGCGCAGCTTCTGCATCTCCTTGGCAAAGTACTTGGTATCGGCATGGTACTGCCGGCTGGCATTGAGACCCATCTCAGCACGTTCCCCAGGCGTCGTCGACTGCATCAAGCGCTGGATCGCTCGGCAGACGTCGGACGCCTCGAACTGAGCCACGAGCCCCTCGACGTCTTCCAGTCCCTTCTCGCCTCGGTAGTTGCCTCCCATCAGCACCATCGGATGCTGGATACGATTCGTTGGGATCAGCACACCCGTTTCATTGCCAATCACCAACTCGTTCATCGGCGGCAAATCGATCGTCACAATGACAGCTCCCGACGAACGTGCCTGGTTGAGAGTGTGGCCGTAGCCTTCACCATAGCTGGGGCTCAAGACGAACAGAGCCTCAGCAATGACCTTGCTGAACATGAGATGCTCGTGCGTGCCCAGCTGGATGTTAACGGGGCTCAAACTGCCGGCAATCTTCGACTTGAACGACGGCGAGAACAAGCGGTAGAATGGCTTGCGGTCAATGTACACGTCGAGCGGAGGCAATTCGGCAGTATGTAGCCAGCAGTCCATGATTTCCCTTGTGCCTTTCGATGAACTAACACCAGCCATGTGGGAAAACTTCACATCAGTGTAGTCCTTGGACGCCACGGCGTATTCCCCCAAGCGCTTGCGAACGAGCACAGATGGACTTGAAGACGTGTGTTTTGTGTAAAACACCGACGTGTTGCGTGGAGTGCCCTCCTGCTCATACCATTTGGTCACCCGGTCGTAGCACACCTGGGTCTTGCACAACACGGCATCAGCTCGAAGGAAGTGCATGGCCGTGAGCTCCATGATTTCAATGTTCGGCATCATGTACACTGGCTTGCCAATTGGCCACCGAGACGACATGGCCACGTCACTCCAGTGGTGATCGAGGAATAGGATGGGCGTCTTGGGACACAGGCTGAAGTAGTCAACCTGACGTCCAAGGTCCGGGTCGTACAGCTCAATGTCCAGCACCCAATCGGGAAGTAAGCGTGACTCCAAATCTAAACCAGAGGTTCACAACAGCAGTGACGCAACAAACAAACAAACAAACACACACACACACCACACAATGCAGCACAATACCGTCAGTGTCGTGTCAACCGGTCGGACGTGCTATTTCTTCGCTCTGCCAGCGGCTTCAGACGTACACTTGACATAGGCTGCTGCGTCTTGACAGTACCCAAACGTGTGCGACGCCTGAGGCAGAAACACATCAACGTCTGGACAGTGACGGAGCTTTGCCAGCAAATCGCTGTCGTTCTGACGCATCAGCACGTGCGAGTTGTTGGCCGTGGCCCCAACCAATTGGTTTCCAGGCGAGCCAAACTGCCACGGCACACCAACAGCCGCGTCGTCGACACAGACCTCATGCAGTAAACTCAGGTGCAGCAGCTCTTGATCGGGCACAACTTCGTCCGGCGACAGCGTCTGGAGGCGGTAGCGCCACGTCATTTGTCGGAGGCCAACGAGTTGGTCGCCCAGAGGTCCAAGCAGAGCAAAGGTCTCGATCATCAAAATGAGGGCGACCAGCACTACAATTGGCACAAGCACGAGGCACACGCGGTCCTGTTGCCGTTGCACCGGCGCCTCTTCGCTTGACTTGAGCATGTCGCACCTGCAGGAGGGACCGAAGAGAGCGGCGCGCTGGGGGCGCTACACGTTCGGACCGAGTGGGGTCAGCACACGTCTCGAGCCGAACTTCTGCTCAGCGAACAGCTTTTCAACAAACTGACTATACATACTATGGGGTCCCGAGACTGGCCACGTATTTTGATTATATTGGCCGTGGGGGTTGGGATCACATTCTCTTTTGCCCGTGTTACAACACACCTCTGGGACCAGTTGTCATTCAGTAGTAAGTAATTTACATACGAGTCCGACTCGAGGTCGACACGCAGTAGAAGCATGAGGACTTATAGCTCGTGCTACAAGGAGGACTGAGTGGAAGGATGAGGTCTTTCATGTATTCATGTTACTGCCGATTCACGAGGATGTTAGTTATAGGTGAAGCTAAGAGATGATTGCATGGATCGCTGGCGAGGGTGAGGTCGGGTGTGCTAACGAGAGCTGAGTGGAGCACTGTTGGACGCTGGGCGCTGGAAAAGCGTTTGACGAGTGCGATCGGGTGTGGGTGCTGTGGCAGTATGTGAGTAGTGATGAGGACGTTGCGTGCAGTCGAGCGGACTGCGCCAACTCAAAAGCGGATCAAGGAAGGCAGTCAAGACTCGATTGCTGATAGTCAAGACGGTCTACCGTTTGACGCTGTCACATGGCGCAGATGCGAACAGGGAGGTGAGGGATAGCACTGCACATATGACAATAGAGGATTGACTGCTCCGTGTCAGTAGCAGACTGTCTCGGCATCCCATCCATCGCGACACGTCTGCTGAGCACTACAAATACAGCGCTCTTTCTTTACAAGGCTGTTTTGTGGATACGCCCCGCGCAACGACCGCACAATGATTGGCAACTTTGACACGGGGTAAGTAACGAGTTAGTAAGGCTCGTACCAGCGTTCTAAAATGAGCAATCAAACCCGATCGGTCGTTTGATCGAGAAGCGCACGACGGAGTTTGATGTGGCTAAGAGTATGCGGACTGAAGAGTTTCATTTGCTTTGCTCTTCCCGCTCATTCTTTTCCATCCTTGTAATGGACTGCATCCGTAGCACGAAGTCAATGAAAATGCTATGGTTGGAGCCCTGGTCATTAGAAAAAGAAGCCTAATACGTTCTCCGAAAGCGTTGCTAGTGTATTGGGGGCACGTTGTTGGCTGGAGCTAACGACGTGGTGCATCCAGTGCATCCAAGAATAGACGAGACCGAGCTTTGAATATGTGTAATGCTTGCATGGGTTTGGACGCCTACTTACAATATTTTCATTTGTACATTTCTTGTCAATGCATTCTTTTACAAGGGGTAGTAGCGTAAGCAAAGGTGCTGTGACCCATTGATGGGCATTTGCCACAACCGTCTGTCATTGGATCATAGAATGATGGAAAAATAAGTATAATTGCAATATGTGACCGTGAAAATAAAAAAATGCACAACTGATGTATCGTGCCGTGCGACCGGACCTGCAGTTGCATGGGATCACACGAAATAAATCTCGAACTCAAATGTTAATATCAATGAATGTGTTCTATAAAATTATGCATCGATGGCGTTCATGGCAATTTGGTGGTGTTGGATCAGTGCTTTATTCCGTTGATCCCCTGCTTCTTTTTACATATTGACTTGTTGACATGCCAGTAAGTACATTGGCCACATGATACATGCACCTTATGATGCGAGCGTCATCATCGTGTGTAAATGCAGATAGAGCGACTGTGTCGAGAATGAAGCATTAGTGTCTGCGCTACCTGTTCGATGTATACCGAGACAACTGATGTATCTACGCTTGTGTGCATCATGTCGTCCGCTATAGATTACAATATTGTAATGTACTTCACACCCGATCGATAAATTATACATGTCAGGACCAACAATACAACCGTCGGTTTCATCTCCGTCGTTGCGACGACTACAACACTCCCCGCCAACCTTTCACAACCTATCGGCGTGCATTCTGCTTTGTGTGTTCACTCAAAAAAAGCGGAAGCCGTATCCGCGCGATTGCCTGCAGTATACCAGCAACATGTTGTGTAAGCTTTCCAGCATATTAGTTCGTTTTCGCTGCATTTACATATCCGTCGTCTAATGCTGCTTACGTCGTTTGATAACACATTGCGGTCTCTTTGTCTACACCCAAAGATACAGCCAAGCCGACATCTTCATACCGTTACAATGCCACGCCAAATGTTTTCAAACAATATTTCATCAGCGTCGTGGTCTTACAACTGGTAAATAGCAATAATTTCGGCTTGCGATCGACGCGTTTACGTATCTTTTACCTTCTTGCAAAAGAAATTTAGACGGATGCTGATAGAAAGTGTAACTGAGTTACAAGTCGGCAGGTAGTCGGCAATGGGTGTGGTGCACACACTCAAGGGATGGAATCCCCTTTTAAAGTTATATTAGAACACAGTATCAATTGTTGAAGTCTGATGTCTGTCAACCATTGATTATGAGATCTTTTGATAGGTTTATTTAGGACATTAGCGAGTAGGTTACGTTGTTCTAAGGTGTTCTTTGAGGTTAAAAGAAGAAGTAAAATTCAGTTCTTATTTTGATCAACATAAGACACGTGCCTCTCTGAGGCGTCTTGTGATCGTAAGGAATTAGCAACGCCTTGCTAAGGCAGCTACTCCTTGTGCACTCTGTTCGTCGATTCTCTGAATCGTTTGCTCTCCCTGGAACAGGGACCGTAAGCTCTCTGAGCTTGTTGACTCTTTGAGTCGGGTTCTTTGAGCCAAACCTTAGCTGTCTGAGCTGTTGACTCTTCGAGTCGGGTTCGTAGAACCAAAGTTGCTCGTAGAGCGCTAAGTTTTCCTCTGACTTAAGGAGCTATGTGGCCCCGCTACACTTGGTAGCACTTGTAGTCAATCTACGCCTGAGTCGTTCCGACTGATCCTCTGTGAGGATGGAGCAATCCACACCCCTCTCTGAGGCCCAAAAGGTCGCGCTTTATAAGCTGACCGCGGCCGTAGGCCCTGAATGTGTGGAGTTTCTAGCTGCACAAGGTCCTGATGTGCTCAATGCACGAGTCGAGACCTTCATGCAGTATGAAACGGCCCTATTTGTGCAGGTATAAAACCAGGTAGCGTCGGCTATGCCAACACGCTTTGTGGCAATGTCAGACGAAGAATTTAAGCCTCGTCCTCTTCGGGTGGACGTTAAACAATACTTCGGAAAGGAGGGGGAAACCTCACTTTCTGGATCCGTGGGATTGAGATGGACATTAGCTCTGGCCTTATCTCACTCGATTACTAGAGAGTTTGCTGAATATCTTCAAGCTCGATGGAAGAGCTAGAGAGTGGACTCTGACGTGCAACACGTCTGTCAACTTGGCTTTTCCCGCATAGGATTCGCTCAAGTTAGACCTTTTGCGAGTTTTCTCGCCGCCCAACCAGGCTAATCGTGTGCGCTCACGCTTCTCGTCTACCCGTCAGGGTAAGAATGAGCTAACGGACTATGTCCAGGAGTTGAGAACTCTGATGGCTGCTATGCAGTCTGACCCTCTCCCTGAGACAGTATATGTGACTGTCTTCATGGAAGGTCTTTGTAATGGCGTTGCCATGACCGAGATCTATCGGGTCCATCCCTCTACTTTTGAGGAGGCTGTTAGCATCGCTCATAATGCTGAGTCCAACTTCAAGTCGGCCAGACTTGGTTGGAATGGGTACAACCCAAGTTTTGTGAGGGCGACCTGTGCGAGCACCTCGGCTTACTGTAAGCCAGAACCGATGGATCTCAGCCATGCTGAAGATGAAGGTGAAGCGGAGCTTCGTGTTGCAGAGCAACGACAGGAAGCAAAACGATGTTATATGTGCGGAAGCACTAAACACTTGCTTCCCACTTGTCCTTTGCGTAAGCAACAACCGACTCCTATGGGGCGAAACCCCAGCCACAACCAGAAACCTGGTATGGCACGGGGAACGTCGACACCCAGTAGGCGCGGGGCGCCCTACTGGGGTAGAACTGAGTTATGTTGCTTCTCTACGAGGTAGAGAGAAACAGGGCTTAGCCCCACCGAGCTATGTACCCACCAGCATTGAGCGTGGATACAAGCCTGGCTTGTTAGTCGCCGAGGCGAGAATAAAAGGCTCTGAGAAGCATTGGTCGATCCTAATTGACGCCGTAGCATCATGCAATTATGCTCGACGTCGTTCCCTTGAAGGAAGTCAGCGGTATGCTTAGGTTCTCAAATCGCGTGAAGGTGATATGATCACCGTTCGTCTAGCAAATGGTAGTCGCGTCACGGTGCCTAACGTTCCGTTGAACTTAGGTGTAAAGGTTTTGGACTTTGACAGCATTGAACGCAGTCTTGTCCTCGATCTGGATTCAAGATATGATCTCATCCTTGGTATGGCTTGGCTTGAACGCCATGAGCCATGGATTGATTGGAAGCCTAAGACCTTAGGCGCCACGCGCAACGTTTCTAGCGAAGCTTTGGAGAGTCACGAACCCACCTTTGCTAGGCAACAAAAGCGCTATTGCGCGAGCCATTGACGGAAGATTCCAATGTGCTGGACATTGGCATGTCTAAGTTAGTTATCGCCAATGTCAATGACATTAAAATTGAGCGGACCTCTTTCACCGTATGTGAAGAGAGTTATGCTGCGTTGGGTGATACTCGTTGTGATAATGAGTCACTGCATGCTGCAGGCATGGATGGCCTAGGGCCGAGACATCAAGAATGTAATTTCTCTGACGTGATTGGGGTGGCACGTGAAATTCCACCGAGTGAGGGAGGCCGAGATGGCACCTCAATGAATGTCGGTATTGACATTGTTGGTGAGAATCCAGAGTGTTCAGGGCTAGGCCCGGATGCTGTACGTTAAGTGGTACGTGTAAATTCACTGGTTGAAGTGTTCGAGTTACGTAACACTTCACCAGATGTCGCTCAAGACATGAGCTCTCGTATAGAGCGTGCTAAGATGAATAGCAACCACGGGGACCCTACTATCTCATCCTCTAGGAGGCGTAAGGTTTCTTTGAGGAAACAATCC